AGGTTAATTGATCGATTTCATATAGATTGCTGATTGCTGATTGGATCCAAATTATTATGATACAATTTCAACATGTGAGTTTGCAACTTTTATCCATTAGATGTTAAATATGTATTTTTTATACAAGAATTACTCTAGCTTGCCTCTCTTTTAAGTTTCAATTGTTACGTTGAGACTGATGTCTCTTGTGAACCTGAATAGCCACACATGGGTTGGACTCGGCAAGAGGATCTCTGATTGAAGAATGATGAGCTTTCACAATAAATCGATTGATGTTTGAATTTAATGTCAGGTGTCTTAAGCAAAGATAGTAGCCACATGTATGCTTCCCTCTCTCTGTGGATCTAATGCCATTTTTTTTTCTCACTCTAGAAAACGTAACATTACTTAAATAATATATAGTATTTAATGAATTATTTTCTCATTTTCTTTCGATAATTTTTTTATTATTTTTTGGTATCATGATAGCTTCAACGAGATATTATAATGTGATCCCGATAATTTTAGGAGTTAATGTATTTTTGATATATGACAGTTTTTGTTATTGACTTGCATATATTTTTTATATATCCTAATTGACTATATTTGTGATATTTCACATCAGACATCTACCAACAGTTATTGTATGAGTGATTTTTTTTAACAAGGACAAACAGAAAAGACACGTGATTTGATATCTTTATTGTTCTTCAGTTGGAGAAAACCTTTGTTATTTTATAATAAAAAACTTTCAACAACAACATAATCTATTCTCGTCAACCTTCGTTGCACTTGTACTTGTAAAGCATGTAACACTTTTGTCAAAATAATATTAGACAAATTCATTGTGTTTTAAAAAAAAAACAATAAATATTTTATATCTCTATCACAATTACCAGAATTTTCTCAATTATTCTAGAATTAGGAAATTTTTTACCGAACAACTTTATCTTGTTAGCAATACTCAACAATTTACTTAAGTATTTATTAATTGTCTAAGACTCTTGCATTCTTTGTATTTCAAATTCTTTTATTAAGTTTAGAACTTTCATACGTCAAATTAGAACTTTCATACCTCAAATTTTTTTGTCCCCTTCATACTTGGTCTTTCAAAATAATTTCAATTTTTTTGGGTAACTTTAACATCATGATTCTACTGAAAATAATTTGTGAAACACCAATAAACAAACATGATTTAACTTTTGTCTTCCTCACTTCTCTTTATCTTTGAAATTTGATTTGAGCAATAGTGAAATTTTCAAATCACAACTTTTCATAATCTAATCCTTCAAGATATGATTACATTCTCATAGCTCATAAGTCATAACTTTCGCTATAAAAAATTAAAATAGTCAAACTTGTGATTCTTCTTCTAAAAATCAATGCTCTTGATATCGTTGATAAAAATTTTAGGGTTTTATATAAGTGTATTTCGATATATGAAATATATCAAATATGAGTATATCTTTTATTCGTGTACTCTATTTATATATAAAATAAAAATATGACAAAACTTTAAATATTAACATTATATTAATCATAATTATCTAAATTAAAATAATAATTTAATATCTTTTTCTCTTATTATAAAAATATATTAATACCTAATTTAAATAAAAAATAATAAATCATATATTCATAATAGAACATAATGTATAATAAACAATAATACATTAATATCTCTCTCCAATCCTCAAAGCATTCGAAATTTTGTAATTCTCAATAAATTTTAATCAATAAAAAAAAGTAAATTAAAAAATATATTATTATTTGTTATGAGTAAATACTTGACACATTTTATATATATAATCTTATATTAAGCTTCTTCTTTAATTAAATTTTTTATATATAAGCTTATATGAATAATTTGTCAGTGTCAAAAAGTCTGAAATACATGTAAGTGTAATTTATTCTCTTCGTTAATTCTTCTTCAAGTAATTCATGTCTTATATACGAAGACCACAGTCTTTTTGGGTAATGATTTAATTGAAATAACAGAAAGTGATCATAAAATAAGACAGAATGTTGTAGTTCGTTTGTAAAAATGATGAAAAGGACGAAGGGGGTAAATCTTTCAGAAACTGCAACAAAGTTGGGTGGTAAAACCCAATTGAAGAGCATAGGCTCTCTTGATTTTGTTGTGTCAAATTAATATATGTTTCCCTTGCAAAATTATTTCATGCCATGTGTTTGACCACAAGGTTTATTCTTTCATCATGGAAAATGCTCTTGGTAGGTGGGGACCCATGCACAACGTGTCTAATGTTGAATACCACCTCACTGTCATTGGTAGGTGTTGTCCTTAAACTTATTGTATATCTCAAGGGTGTTACTCAAAGTTAGCTAACAAAAATGTTGATTAAAATTTCAAGTGAGAAACGAAAATTGGCATTTGATGTTGACTCGAATCATAAACATTATTTTTGTTGAAAGTCTGAAAGGGGGGGATTGGTTGTTGATGGTGAGAGGCTTGGAAATGCAGAAAATAGTGACATAAAATGTTACAGTTGTAGAGCATGAAATAATGGATGGTTGGTAAAACAAATGATGGGTTTTTAAAATAGGCCTTTGATTTTCTCCCCAAACAAAGGAAGTAAAGTTGCCAAAATCCCCAAAATAAAGTTATTTGCTTCATGCTAAGGTGAACGAGGGAATGGGGACCCAAATATAAGTGGGAAGTGGGTGATAGAGCAGTGACAACTTTACTTAGTAGGGCACCCACCCTAATGATCATTATAATGCCTTATAAATCTCCAAAACATTCTTGCTTGGTAGGGCCTCATTTCTCGTCATTTTAGAAGGACAATCTAAAGCTATTTCCTTGAAAGCACATTTTCTCTCTTTTTTCTTTCTATTAGGGTCGTGGAATTCAGTATCTGATTATGACAATTCAACTGCAAAATTCAACCTAAAATTAGGCAAATGGAAGCCCCATCTAGTTGAGCTTAATTTTTCTTCAGTGGTTGAAGATGATAAATAGTAAAGGAGATTTACATCACACGCAACATATGGATTGGAAACAATTCACTGAAGAAAAAAACTTATCAGGACTGCTTAGAACTTTTTAAAGTTCTTATGCAAACAATTCACTGAAGAAAAGCTTAATGGTTCATGTACTGAAAGCCAGCTTTATCACTCTGATAAAACTATTCCATAATACACTGTCTGATTAATTGGCACCTTTTGTTGCCCAATCTCATATAACTCTTAATTAGTAACAAACAGATTGATTCTGCACTAACTTTATGCAAATAATAAATAAATGACATCTTAATTAAAATAATTAGAATATGAAAATTAATAAGCACAATGGACAGCTTAATTAAACAAAACCAAAGGCTTTATACATGCTGTTGCTTCACAGGCATTTCTTTATAGATTAAGAAAAGAGTGTTCAGCGATAAGAGAATAAAAAATTACATATGAATTAACAAATTATGAAAAGTTATAGAAGGGAAAGTTAATTCAATTGTTAAAGTGATTATTAAATTTGGGTACCAGCTACCATCATTGTTGACACGAATCATAAACTATTCAGAACTCAAATGTAGGTAACCGCAGGCTGAATAGTTAAGCAAAAATACAGAAAAGGACTACAGATTATGATTCACAGTGTTCAATATAGTATTGCTGCTGTAATTTAATTTGTACAAAATCAATTAATTTAATGCATTATATGTTTTGTCTTTGTAATAATTGTTCACTTGAATATCGTAATAGAATATCTACCAATCCATCCTTTAACACGTAGCTAAATGATTAGGAGTTTCTAATTTTCGGAGACAAGGTTGTCAGATTAACCTTTCTATTTGAATATGTTTATCTTTCTTTTTAAGGAGGAAAAAAAAACTATGTATTGTAATAATACAATAATAAAATACATGCAACTCTGCTGTATACAGCACCACATTCAAAGCATCTTTCAATAATTAAATCAAACTAATCTGGAAACCAATTATAGACCCAGTATATTAAAATAGCATGACCAGACCCAGAAATCTTTTGTTAAGCCTTTCAAACTGGATTTTTGTAACAACCTCTCAGAAAAAGATTAGTGTAATATCTCCAGAGTATCTTTTCCAAACCTGAGCTCCACTACAAAACCCTTTTCCTATTCACAAAATTAATAATAGAAGCTATGAAATTATAAAGCTCAATGATTCATTGGGCCTAGTCAGAATTCACGACTGCCAACCTGAGATTCCTTTAATGTTCACATATATTAGTAAAAAAGTGATGTTTGCTTTGAAAGGGGTGGTTATGACTTATAACTTCTAACCTCTACAATTTCTAAAGCTTTTCCCATGGATTTTTCCATCCCATTCAGTAAAAAATGGCACAGAAGCTTCCACTTTTGGTGAACCAAAGAAAGTTACAGAGAAAAAGACAAAGAAAATGCCAGAAGTTATGGTTGACCAGAGCTCAAATTAACCAAATGTCCTAATCACTCAAATTAGAATTCTAATTCTAAGATAAAAAAAATGGTCCCACTAATACAGCTGGTTAGCAACACAAGATAGAATCACATCGACCAGATTACGCCATTTAGGAGAAGGTTAATTGACATGACCTATAATGATAAATTCCCGCGAAAATTCTTTGTGGGTTGATGTGATATATGAATTATGTAAACCGTACAATAATAGACAAAATGAAGAGGACTAATCATAATAGTGGGTAGTAGAAAAACTCCTTTAATTAGCACTATATCTTACATTTGGTGCTGCAAATAATAAGAATTTGCATCAAGAGAATCCAGAATCCATCCTAAAGATTTTACAGTGAATAGTTGTAAAAAAAAGTAAAAATTGAAAAGAACTGCCCCTGAAGATTAAAATTAAAATCATGGAAAGGGTAAGGAAAGAATTGGCTAAGATAGGGACAAAAGAAGGTTCTATTAAGTGATGATAATAATTCAAGGGGTCGTTCAAATTAAATCTCTTCTTGTGTGTACAGAAGTAGTATTCCTATTCCTCCGAGCTTCGATTCAGGCGTAATGAATGGTGATCAGAGCTTAACTTTCATAGGGGTACTTGATTTGAGCCTACATTGATAAAAAAAACCAAAAAAAAAACATAAAGATCAGTTTGTTGGGCCTCATGAAAATGATGTGTTATATTAACATTTTTGCTTTTGCTTTAGCTTTATTAATTACCATTGAAACTTTGAGATTGTATTGGTGTTTTCCTGTTTGCAGTTTGGCCAAATCCCATCTGAACAATGGTGTGGAGGTCCTCTTCAGAGAATGTTATTGGATACTGGAAATCATTGGATAAGCAGAATTAGAAAAAGTGTAATGAGACTTTAAAAAAATAAGGCACTTTTTTCTAAAGAGAAACTAGATGGAATTGATTACCTGAGAGGCACCTTCATTAAAGCCATTTAGGTGAGGTAACTGCATGCCAATGTTTTGGCACAAACCAGTATCTAATGGGTCCCCTGAGGTGTGGGACACAGTTCCATTAGGAATGTTACTGTGGATTGCTGGGTTTGGCTGAGGGTGTTGCCCATAAAAGGCTGGTGCTGAGGAATCTAATGGGAATATTGGGTGTGCCAAGGAATTATTTGATTGAAATATCTGAAATCACCAAAAAGCCAACAAATCCCAACTCAGGAAAAAGCAATATTTTTTTTAGTTAAAAAAGCAAACCCATTGTCTAGAGCCCTGAAACTTACATCTTTTGAGATTAGACTCTCAATACTAAAATCCAGCCTGGTGTTAACGGAAGCCAACTTCATGGACAGAAGCTGCAACAGCAAAAAGCATTCTTAATGAGCAAGAAATCTTAAAACATTATTGTGGGCATCGTTTGAGATGCTTATTGGCTAAGACTGGTTTACCTCAACTTGGCGCTGCAATGACTGTACATAGTTTATAATTTCATCAAGCATAAGTGCTTTACCTGTGACCTGTAGCAAACAATTCATAACCAAATTAGTAAAGGAATAAATTCAAAACCAACCTAATTGTTTGAATTTTGATTTAGCTTATCAGCACATGCACCTTATTGCAACCTGGGACAAGATCTTGGAGAAGCTTCATTCTTTCACTGATTTTCTCCCTCCGGACCTATTTCAAAATCAGTTTACAAAATGTCAAAATGAAAGGGTACACATGCTTCTTGCCAGGGTCATTTAGAGTGAGAAAATAACTGATTCTTACTCTTTCTGCAAGACTATGACTGTCAGTGGCTTGACCTCTTCTTGCTCTAACATGAATGTAATCCTTTGGAGGCTCTGGAGGTTTTGAGTTGCTCTTATTCTGTTTGTCATCATTTGCACTACAACTTATCCCTTTGGACTCTTCCTCTGCCTTCACTTGGCCATTTTTATTCCCCTCACCTTCATTAGGCTTCCTGCGCTTTACATTTGAGTCTTCGCTAGCTTCAGCAGCCTGAAGTGAAAGACTCTTTGGGATTTTAGAAAATGAAATGCCCCTTTGAATAAACATGTAGAACAGAACAATTTTGGCATAAAAAGTACTTACCGTAGGGGGGTTGGTAGGGGTTGAAGTTTCCTTGGCTTTTCCTTTGGATGGACCTTTTCTTTTTCTAGAATTCGCATAAGGGGAAGGTTTCACCCCCGTGTCCCCATTTGGAATTTGTTCAGAGATTGTTGATTCCTCTTGAGAATTGGCCACTTCCATTAGATCTTGCAATGGAGAATTCTTGTTCTCCTGGGCGCCTATTTGAGATCCAAGCACTTTGAGAGATGGACTACTTGAGACTCTAGGGAGCTTCCCATTTTCCACCAATGGAGAAGATCTGTGAGTCAACTCAGCATTGTTATTAGGGCCCAATTGGGTGGTCCTGCCATTGAAACTCCTACTTCCAAAGCAAGAAAACTTTGCAGCCCTCTCAGCAAAGCCAGGATCAGCTGAGAATTCTGCCACACTGGAATTCAAGGAGATTGATGTTCCCAAACTGGGGGGCATGCTCTCTTTCACCAAGTGGTTCACCATTGTGGGGATCTTGTTCATGTTCACCTTTGGAGGAGAACTCAAAGGGGTGCTGTAACATGAAGTGTTGGTGCTGTTATTGTCATTGATGTAGGAAGATGGACCAACCAAAGGCTGAGAATGAGGTGAGATCTCATCAGAGCCACCACCACCACCAATGTTTACCAATTTCCCAATCAACTCCCTGATGACAAAATTCTCACTTGACATGTTGGAATTGGAAGCTGCTGGAGAAGATACCATTGAACTCAGTGCAGAATCAAACTGAACAACATAATCTGTTGATTTGTCCCATGCCGGTGTATAAAAGCAATCCTGTGTCTGCTCAGTTGAACTATTCAAAACTGCCACCTGAACATCCATGGCAGAAGAAGACATGGACTGCCAAGAGGCTGGACAAGGAGGTGGTGAAGGCTCAAAATGCAGCTGAGGGGGCACACCAACATTGAGAAAGAATTGGTTTTCCATGAAGGAATAGATCAAGCAAAAAGGAATTTAGACCCCAAAAAAGACGAAGGTGGTGAAGCCAAAAGTAGGATAATGAATGTTGTGTGTGTGTCCCAGAAGGCCTAAAATAAAATGGTTTATGAATGGATGACTTGATTACAATAGAGGGTGGAATGGAGTGATGAATTCGAGAGGGTTGTGGTGTGAAAAGGGAAATTGATGTGGTAAATAAAAAGCTAAGCGAAGAGAGTTGATGGGGATGGTGTGGGGGAGCCTAAATAGAGATCCAACACAAGTTGAGTCCAAGTTGTGTAGGTTTGACCTTTTGTTTTCTTTGAGTTTTTTTATAATAGTCTTCTGCTACATCGTTTGTTGCATTGGATGGATAGCAGCGGTAGTCAGTGGAGTGACCAATGAGATTCTGATAAAAGGTGATGCATGCCATTTGATTTGAGGCAAACTTGTTTACAAGCTTTACTTTACAAGTAGGAGGCTTCAATTATGATTTGATAGCATATGCTTCACAGACAATTAACAAATTCATTACGCTACCCTATTTGGTCAAGTTTACATTTTATCTCTCTCATTTATCCTCATACACATGCTTCTTGGAAAGAATAATGAATATTGGTTTTAACTGTAATTAATTTGACTTTATAAAAATATAAATGTTTAGATTTTACTCTAAATCTTTTAACAAAGTTGTTTTAGAGTAAAAATGTTTATATAGATATTTTGGAATTTAGCTTTCAAATATATTTTATAATTTTGAAATAAAATCTCAAAAAATGTAATTTTAATTCTTCTGAAAACAAAAGGTTGAAAGTATTTAAATTCTCTATTACAAAGGCCTATGTTCTATTTTAACACTCTCAAAAACTAAGTTTGATGAAGTAGTAGGTGACACCCAACGCTCCTTTCTATTCAGAATTCTAATGGGCTCATGCTGTTGCCCCAAACGCGTTGATGATATACTATTTGTAAATTTTTTCACATTTTCACAATTTAATTTTTAGAATTATTGATTACATTTTAGAAATTGAAATTTGAAAGTGGGAAAATACAATTTCATCGTTTTGATATATAATTTTCAAATATTCTTGGAATTGAATGATTCGTACTAAGAATTTAGATTTCCATCATTTGTTTAAAAACATAGTAATGTGTTTGTTTACATTTGTTTTGAGTGTGTTAATTATGAAAGTGTGATAATATTAATCAATATTTACTAAAGGTAACTTGTTTAAACCCAAAATTCTATATTTTTTTGAACTTATTATATGATTATAATTTATTTTCGTAATATAGATTGATAATTACTTTTTATTGCTAGTCATTGATACAGGAAACACAATCCTTCTGTCTTAATTTAAATTCTTGTTATAAAAATAATATATAAAAAATAAATTTTATATGCTATCATAATTGAGATTTATCATTTAATTTTGTCAATAATTAATCTTTAATAAAGGAATGGACAAATTTTCTTTTGAACTTTCTTATCTTAATTACTTTTTATTTATAAAACTTATTTTAAAATTTCTTATCTTAATTATATTTTTATGTGTAAAACTAAAAAAAAAAGTGTTTCGATGGAAAAGCTTTTGTGCATTTATTATTTTTATAGGGAATCTAAAATACTTTATGATAAAATATATTTTGATAGAAATTAAATTTTTAAAAGATTATGATAATAAATTGATTATTTAAAATAAGATAATCTTAAATTTCATCTTAAAAAAAATAAAAATTTAAAAGTTCTTATATGTTTTTCCTATCTCACAGTATAATTTTTTTTTTCACTCTCTTTTAAGCTGTTTCAATGTGTTGTCCAATTGACATTATTTTTTATTGATGTTGGTAAGGTTTTCAACATTAATTTTCTTTTTTAAATGCCAAATTTCTGTGAATCTTTGAAAATTGTTTTAGCCAATTTAAGCTATTTCAAAATTTACATTATTTTTTATTGATGCGGGTAAGGTTTTTAAAGTTAATATTCTTTTTTAAATGTAAAGTTTTGGTAAATCTTGAATAAATTTGTTTTATCCAATTTTAATCGGAAGTATTTTTAATCGATAAAAAGAGTTGGTATTGAAAAAATAACATTGAGAGCTGTGAATTAAAAAAAAAAACTTTGTGGACATTAACTTAAAAAAAACTTGTGGATTTTGGCTAACAATAATTCAAATACATATTTTAAAATTTGTAAAATTTTCGATGAAAATATATAATAACTTTAAATTTTTATAAAGAACTTTGACCCTAATTTCATTCCGATTATTCTTGTAAATAATACAAGTTCATATAATAAGTTAAGATTATTTTCTTTACAAATTATATAATATTTTATTAGAATTAATATAATTATAAAATATTATAATTTCCTAGTAACTATTATATTTATATAATTTTCTATCTTATAAATAGTTATATATATATATATATATATATATATATATATATATTCTATTTTGTATATATCTAGTTTATATTTTTCAAGTTAGTGTCATCGTGATAATTATTCTTTAGATTTTGAATAATCTAAAACTTTCAAAGAAATGAAATTTTAGAACAAAATTAGTTTATTTTGTTGTTTAATCTCAAATTATGAATATTCTTTCAAAAACATGTTATGATGACAAAAAAGAGGTATAAATGTTAAAATTTAAATAAAAACATTTACCGTCAAATGAAATTTAAAGGTATGTCTATCGATGTAAGTAATAGTGAATAATGTTGGTGAGATTTTTTTATACTTTTAATGATATATAGATTATTGATATTCAAGTTAAAAAAATAGATAACATTTGATCCTAGTAATCTAAATCAAGTGATTTACACAAAAATATGTTTTTATTACAAATAAAAACCAAGTTCAAATTATTAAGAAATTATCTAAATATCTTATTAATACTTAGAGTTATCAAAATGCGTGACCTACCCAACCTATCCTAATCTTACGGGTAAGGTAAAAAACTTAATAGTTCAGTTTAACTTATATTTTAAAAAGATCAAAAGTTTTAGCCTAATCTAATCTTATATTAGGCTAATAAGGTAGTTGTAGCCTGATTTGATTTTTTTAAAAAAATATTAACATATACCAAATCAATTAATTAAAAATATTTAAATAAAAATAAAATAAATAAATATTTTTAAAATTTAACTTTTATCAATAAAATTAATTTTTATTTAATATATAATAATTTAATATATAAATTATAAGATAATGTATTCATTCAATCTCAAGATAAGATTTTGGAACACGTAGTTGTTAGATATTTATTTTGATATTTGTTTTTAAAATAAGTGAATCTCTTGTCAAATTAATTTATAATACATATATATTTTTTAGTAAAATAATATTACTTTTATTTTTATTTAAAAAATAGTTATTATTCTAGAAAATAGGCTGACTCATAAGCCCGTGGGCTAACCTAACTTAACATCATGTGGACTATATGACCTAAATAAGTCGGACCAAAATAGGTCTAATTCAATTTAGACCACGAATTTTTTGACTTAGTCTAACCTATTTCTCAAACCTTTCAAACTGATCCATCGGATTAATCCTATTTTAAAACATCTACTAATGCTTAAATATCGATTCTTTCTTAATTGTTTCTTATTTAAATTTTAATCTTTTATTTGTTTCCTAAATTTACCATTGATTTATCTTACGTATTAATTTGTTACACTAACTCTTGTATTCTTAAAGACAAAACAAAATAAACAATTGATTATGGTACTAGAAGAGAAAACTTGTATTATCTAGATTTAATGTTAAAAAAATATTGAGTCAAAACAAAATCTAATTATTGATAAATCTATAGGGATAAAAGAACTAATATTTGGTTATGATATTAATGTCTCAATCATGCCTTATTTGAATTTTTTTTTTAATTATAGTTTATTTAAAAAATACGATGACTCTAGTTTTCAATGTTATGTTTTTGAACTTGCAAAGAGTTATATAACTTCACTTTTATTAATTTTAAATAAAAGTCTTCAACATTTTATGATACATTATGATGTGTGAGATCTATCTAAAATTCAAACTTAAGATTAATCTCATTAGTTTATACTTTTATTGATGATTGTACATTAACAACTTGATTGTACTTAATGAAAAAAAAATGAGGCAAATTTATTATTTAAAATTTTTCATAACATGATAAGAAATTAAATTAATAGGGATGACAATTAAACTCGTGGGGATCGACCCGTCCCCGCCGGAGTTTGACTGGAGAAAACCCGAGTTAACCGGGGCGAGGCGAGGCGGGTTCGGGTTTTCTCCGCTTGAAAAAGTCAGCGCGGGGACGGAGATGGGTAATGCAATCCCCATCCCGACCCCGTCCCCGCCCCAACTTTATATTTAAATTTAAATTTTAAAATATTAATATTTTAAAGTATTTCATTTTCTTTTTCTATTACATATAAGGTCATTTTTTATATTTCACCAATTTTTATTTTTCTTCTACCCACTTTTTAATTTTTTTTTGTCTTTTTTAATCTTTTATATCAATTAATTTATTACATTATTCTCTATCTTACCTTTTAGTTTTTCACATTTCCTTAATTTCTCCCATCAATTTGTTTTTGTTTTTTAATCTTTTCAACCAATTTGATGAACACAAAGTTAATTTTTTTATTCTTTATCCTTTTTTAAATATTTTACATAAATCTTAGTAATAACTAATATTATTTTATTTATAATTTATATTTATTAGGTTTTATTATGTCATATTTTTTATCTTATTATTCTTATTTATCATATATTAAATTTTATCTTAATAAAATAATTATATTTTAAAGGATTAAAGGAATTCATAATTTAAACTTTTATTACTTGAAACTAATTGAATAAGAATTAACTTATTAAATATTTCCTTATAAACTATATATTTCATATTTTTAAATGACAATTTAAAAATTAATTAAATTATATATATAATCAAATGTTTGATATATAATATTATAATAATAATGTTATAAGTATTCAAATATTTGAATACAGTGTTATA